TTTGTATGATTCTCCTTACTATTTTGGAAAGAAATAGATCAGCTTAAAATTCTTTGGCTCAAGTTACCCAGCAATTTCCAATCCAAGATGAAATGTGCACACCACACATTACAGTGTTTATACTATACTTTACTATTTTACTCAACAAAAATTAATCAGTGTTTAGGGGCTTAGAGGGAAGTAAATATGTTTGTTCAGGATTAGAGCAATAAGGCATCTTCACATTCCTTAAAAAATTCTTAACTTTTTGAAACCTATCTGATCCAATGTTCTGTTCTCTAAAATTTCTACAGTACTTTCATTGTGATAGCTGTCTTCTGCTATCTACATTCCAACATCTTCTTTTGAGTCAATATTATGAGAATAGTATATAATTTTTCCATGATGCATGCCATAATGTTTGAAAAATATTTCCTCTAATTGATAGCTTTTACATTACTATATCTGGTAAAAAGGAATACATCTGTTAATTTCTTCTCAGTTTTTATTATGTCTGAATAATTCTTATTCTTGCTTAATTCTGCAATTCAAAGCATTGCTTCTATAAACATGTCTTTTTTCAAAATGCATGTTTGATTTGTTTAAATTTCCAAAAATTAAACTGACATATTCAGAGAAATATGAAATGCTAGACAGTTATAAAGGAACTATAGCATGAAGATCTCCTGGTCAGAAAGAAGGCTAGAATGTGAATTAGGTATCATTGTATTGGCAAATATGTTGCTAGAACAACTGAACATGGATATTTCATCAAGGATGAATCATTGTTAATTCTTGAGATGATTTAGGATAGCTAAGAAGCCATAGTAAATTTTCTAAGAGTTGATTATAATAATTTGTTAACACAATGATTTGAAATTTTAATATGGTATTATTATTATTATTATTGTTCTTGTTAACTATTTTGTCATTAATATAGTATATAGATGGCAGGTGAATAATTTGCAAATAGAATTAATAGTTTGGTAGTTTAAAATCTTTTGGACCTCTTTTGCAAGGAATGGGAAACTAATATTGCTGTAATCACTATTCAGCTGGAGGGAAATATGTATATTTGTGTTAGTTTTTTATCCACATTTTAATCTCTTGTTTGTCACTTCAACATTTTTGGGGTTTTATTTTACCTTAAAAAGATAAAATTAAAATAGATGAAACAAAAAGAAGAAAGTGGCATAAACAAAAGCACTTCAAGCTGCTCTGAAACTTAGATCTATGTTGAAGTCTGAATGACTGACTTGATATTATTCATAGAAATGTGTTTATCAACCAAGTGCAGATCAATTTACAACCACAATTGAGCCTAGAATTTATGTTGCTAAGTAAGAAATTTGTTAAGTGAGTTTTGTCCCATTTTATGACTTTTCTTGCTACATTTGTTAAGTGAATCGCTGTAGTTGTTAAACTAGTTACATGATTGTTAAGTGAATCTGGCTTCCCCAATGACTTTGCTTGTCAGAAGTTCGCAAAAGAAGATCCCGTGACCCCAAAACACTGCAAGTAATCAATGTGAATGTGTTGTCAAGCATCTGAATGTAAATCACATGACCATGGAGATACTGCAATGGTATAAAGTGTGAATAAGGGTCATAAGTCTCTTTTTTTCAGTGCCATTGAATGGTCACTAAGCAAACTGTTGTAAGTCGGGGACTAGCTGTAAATTCCAGCAAAGAAAAATAGCAATTAGCAAATGGAAAGTGTTGTGAAATCTTCAGCCAGCAGATGGCACTGAAGAGTCTCCTTAGCATCAAGATGGCATTTAAAAGTTTAAAAGGAGTTCCAGTAGGAAATTGAAAGAAATCCCCTGTTGATTACATTACCTGGATGCTTGTTTTTGAAACACCAACATATCCTGTGCTTTCATATTATACCAGGGATCAAGAAATTCAGGCAACAATGTGCATAATGGAGAATCTATGCTTTCTTTGGCTTCACTCCATCTTGAAACCCCTCCCATCATGTCAGCTGTCACAACTAAATAAAGGAGCTCTAAAACAGAGTTACTGAAATATGAGAGTTAGCAATTCAGCAGGCAATGTGGAGGTTTGCCAACATAGAGAAAAACTACTGATAGTAATTTATTATAATTTAAGTAAAGAGGAGCAAGGGTGGCTTACTGCAAATCTTAGAGGTAGTGATTCAGTTCTAGCACATGTATGGATTGACTTGGCAGCACACTCACCTCTAGAGATCTGCAAACATGATGTGCTTGTAGTAATGTGTTGTATGAATAAATTTGAAAATAGTCTAGGAAGCCAATCTGGGACATATTGTAAACTAGATTCAGAAAGATTGTAAGACAGAAAGTAAAAGCAATAAATCAGAAAATGCAGCGCAAAACTTCCCACCTTAGTAGCAATACTAACATGCAACATCTGCACACTTTCTCGCAACTGCACACCCCAGCTTTCAAGATTTTAAGTGAGGAAATTATAACCTATTCAATCTCTGCTATGGGTGCTTTGGAGGCCAATTTTTTTTTTTGAGCCCAAATTGAAAAACCCTTGAGGGGACTTGATTTGGGGTGGAATTTCATGCTTAAAAATGGTATTTCTTGCTGTTTTTAAAAATCAAACTTTTGCACCTAGAGGAGGAAAACTCCTGAGCCTGTGGTCAGGAAAAAGGATGCTTTGGAGGCCAAATTTTTTTTTTGAGCCCAAATTGAAAAACCCTTGAGGGCACTTGATTCAGGGTGGAATTTCATGCTTAAAGTGGGCTCAGGAGTTTTGCTCCTGTGGGTGCAAAACTTGATTTTTACAAATAGCAAGAAATACCATTTTTAAGCATGAAATTCCACCACGAATCAAGTGCCCTCAAGGGTTTTTCAATTTGGGCTCAAAAAAAATTTGGCCTCCAAAGCACCCATTTTTCTGACTGTGGGCTCAGGAATTTTGCTCCTCTAGGTGCAAAAGTTTGATTTTTAAAAACAGCAAGAAATACCATTTTTAAGCATGAAATTCTACTTCAAATCTAGTCCCCTCAAGGGTTGCTCAATTTGGGCTCAAAAAAAAATTTGGCCTCCAAAGCACCCATTTTTCTGATTGCGGGCTCAGGAGTTTTGCTCCTCTAGGTGTAAAAGTTTGACTTTTAAAAAACAGCAAGAAATACCATTTTTAAGCATGAAATTCTACTTCAAATCTAGTCCCCTCAAGGGTTGCTCAATTTGGGCTCAAAAAAAATTTGGCCTCCAAAGCACCCATTTTTCTGACAGCGGGCTCAGGAGTTTTGCTCCTCTAGGTGCAAAAAAATTTGATTTTTACAAACAGCAAGCAATACCATTTTTAGGCATGATATTCCCCCCTGAATCAAGTGCCCTCAAGGGTTTTTCAATTTGGGCTCAAAAAAAATTTGGCCTCCAAAGCACCCATTTTTCTGACAGCGGGCTCAGGAGTTTTGCTCCTCTAGGTGCAAAAAAATTTGATTTTTACAAACAGCAAGCAATACCATTTTTAGGCATGATATTCCACCCTGAATCAAGTGCCCTCAGGGGTTTTTCAATTTGGGCTCAAAAAGAATTTGGTCTCCAAATCACTCATTTTTCTGACAGTGGGCTCAGGAGTTTTTCTCCTCTGGGTGCAAAAAGTTTGATTTTTAAAAACAACAATGGAGTGGTTTTTTAGCTTTTCCGACTCGGACACAACCAATATGTGTTTCTTGTTTGAAACTGAGCTCTGGGTCTAAAGTAACGTTTTCTGGCTGAATTGATTTCTTTTGCCAATTCTGAGATACGCTTTGGTCTAACTTCTCAGGGAAAGCTCAGATCATTTTTAATGGTCCTATGCTAATGTTTTAATTCTCAAACACAGAACAGACAGTTTCCCAGATAACACCCAATTTTATACTGTATGTGAGCCACCATCAATTGCTCAGGGAGACCTCTTTCCCATCCTACCAGAACAGAGACACAAGCGCTGGCTGAGTTCTAACATGGTTTTCCCTCCTTCTCTCAAAATGATTTATTGTTCATGTAGGAATAGAAAGGTGATTGCCCCAACTGCTGTTTCCTATTCTTCTTCCCATCATTACAATTCCTATCCTGCTCTGAGCCAGCAACTGTAACTGATGAGAATATATTTGGCAATTTCTGTAAATAATTGTGAATATTCTTGCTCCAGAACTGAGAAAGATATTGTGCAATATCAAAATGTTGCAGCTACTTCCATGCCATTCAGTAGTTCATTGTCCAATGAACAGAAGTCATGCTGCAGTCAGGACTGCCAATCCTATAGTAATGTTATCTTTCACCACCACCCTCATCTCAGATGTTGTAGTAAATGGCAGTGGCTTTAGCAACTGCTGTTTCTTTGCTGCAAAGCTGTAGACACCAAGGATCCCTGCATCCCACGAGTGCACAAGCGAACCGGTAGTAAAATAAATTGCAACCCACCACTGTCCCAGAAACTGGAAGTGTGGCATTTTAAGACTCCATTCTCATTTTTGCTGTGTTTTTTTATATTTCAAAGACAATACAAATGAACTAAAATTTACAGTTAGTGCAGATACTCATATTCAGTATGCATCATAAGTGAATCAATATTTGTTTCTTAACCATTCCAGACCATCCAGTTTTGGTTGCCATGGTGTAAAAAAGATGTGGAGACTCTAGAAAGAGTGCAGAGAAGAGCAACAAAGATGATTAGGGGGCTGAAGGCTAAAACATATAAAGAATGGATGCTGGAATTGGGTATGTCTAGTTTAATGAAAAGAAAGACTGGGGTGACATGACAGCAATGTTCCAATATCTCAGGGGCTGCCACAAAGAAAAGGGAATCAAGCTATTCTCCAAAGCACCTGAGGACAGGACAAGAAATAATGGATGGAAACTAATCAAACAGAGAAGCAATCTAGAACTAAGAATAAATTTCCTGACAGTTAGAACAATTAATCAGTGGAACAACAGAAGTTGTTAATGATCCAACACTGGACGTTTTAAAGAAGAAATCGGATAAACATTTGTCTGAAATGGTACAGGTTTCCTGCCTAAGCAAGTGGATGGACTAGAAGACCTCTAATGTACCTTCCAACTATTCTATTCTTTTCAAGAATTATCTGCAGATTATTAGTAAATAAGATAGGTGGGTGGATAAATAAAATATACACTGCATTGCTTGCTTAGCCCTTTAAATGTAACATCCTGATATAGTTACTTGCATAAGAATCATATAAACATTATTTTGATTCATGATCATATTTGAAACCATGTTTAGGTGTGTCCTAAAGAGGAATCATGTACTTCCTGCATGATGTAGTTCATATTTTTGTTGCTCTCTGTAGGACACTTGATGCTGTTCAAGTGCAGCATGATTTCTTGCTTCCTCTTCTGCAGACTGCATGAAGCGAGTCTTGATTCTCCAGTTGCAGCTGCTTGGGGAAAATGTAGGGAAAGTTGAGATATTTACACTTTGTCTTGTCCGTGACTTTGTTGGGCTCAGAAGGATGACCTCTTGGGAACAGACTTTGAACTTCAGAATTGATGCAGCAAAAGTTCAACTCTTCCTATGTAATGAGACTATTTATATTTTCACAATAAAAGTTTCATTTCTGGTAATCCACACATGGGAGGGTAGTGCATGACAAGCATGAGTAGGATTTCCTCTTTCTGAATAAGTTAATATCTTTTTTTTATATCCATCATTCAACTTACTAAAGAGGTAATATACAAGAAAACCACATAATGATTTCAAATTATTTCATAATTCCTGAAATATCGGTGCGCTGGAAAAAACTATATAATTAATACATCAAAAAGACTTTCACAAAAGTCTGACTGCACCAAAAAATGTGACATCTCCATTCAAGACTATTTTGGCACTTGTCCGTGGTATGGTAAGCTGAAGTTCATCTCCTTCTTCTAATTTAGCAACACCTGCCAAAATATTGCAATCATTTTTAGTACAACAGTCTAATATAGCCAGACCAAAACAAATCGTATTGGCTATGATTTGGCTAGTCCTTAATTGACAAAGCTGCTACCTTCTTTCATTTTGAGGTTAAAAGATGCATATTATGCACATTTTAAACACCTATAAACAAGGTGAATTTAAATAAATATACTGTAGGTAGTCCTCAAGGTACCACAGGCCATTTAATGAACATTCAAAGTTATAACACTCTTCCCACCAAAAGCTATATACAAACCAGTCACGTGCAGGCAGGGGAGGCAGAGCCTCACCACTGTCATCATGAAAAGAAAAGAAAATGTAAAAGGAAAA